TTAAAAGGCCAATAAAAAGCATTCAAAAACTATGTGTTTGGGAGCAACTCTCCCCTGCAGGAATCCTACTTATTGAGGATAACATGTTTGTATTAGCTTTGGCATGTAATTGTAACCACTGTATTGCATTTAAAAGCTAATTCACTAGGAATTCATTCCAGTACCATAGTCTGCCCTCAAGTAGCTGAGTTCCCCTTTGTCAATACACAGGAAAAACACCTTTAAATGATACCAGGGTTACTTAACGGAAGAAAGCTGTTGGTATGAACATTGATTTACCCTAATCATCATAATGTCCTTCTTGGTTCCTTTGTAAACACAATATCGTACAGAACAGACTCACACTAAAGAGATTGCCAGGAAGAAATTAGACACAGAACATGTCCCACTCGGTCTTCAGTCACAGGAATTCAACTCCGTCTCAGACTCTGCTCCTAGAGACCGTTTCACTGACATGCTGCCTGCTGCCCCATCCCCAAATGCTTCTAACTATTACATTCCCATTAAAAGTTGCCCTTGGGTGTTTAATGGTTATTATTCACTGCCAGCTGAAGACACTGTTTTTGCAAAGTACAGCAAATCCTGGAAGCAGATCATACACCAGGATGTGACCAGCCTTGAAAAGCTTGAAGAGACTTCTATCTTTTGTACGGAGTGAAAATGATGCTTCCAGGTAGAGCCCTGCATGAATATAGCATTGGTATCTGCAGCCACATCTGCCAAAATGATATATGGATAGCCACGTCCATACCCACGGATGCAGATCCTCACAGATGTAAAGGGGATATCCATAGATTTACAGGGTTCTAGATACAAAATTTGTATCTGCATCCACATCTGCAAAAATGAGCCACAGATATCCGTAATCACATCCAAGGAAGCAGATACCCATGGCTAACTGCAGATTTGCAGGGCTCTACTTCCAGGAGAGCCTGGAGAGTTGCCTAGCTCTCACCCTATGTCTGGTTACCTGGAGCTCCTTAAAGCAAAAGGACAGTTACCAAAATGACCATGACTATGCAGAGGAGACGGGGTAATGCCAGCGTGGGAGCGATTGTGTTTCTGAGCATTCCAAGAGCTAGGACAGACAGTTTGAACTCAGTGCTCATATCGTCCATGTAAAGCCCGGCCTCTTGTCCCCCGCCTGCCTGCCCAGGGCTCACTAACCACAGCACAAGGTGTTTTATTGATCACATCGATCCTGGCTGAGTATTCCCCAGTACTCTCTCTACTCCAAATTCCTGTACCAGGAGCACACAGTGAACTCTGTGTAACAGCTAAGAAGCAGTTTTTTCTGTGCATGTTTCCATGTCCAGCTTAGCAATGAAGAATGGATGTGGCTCAGATTGCTATAGGTCCCCACAGACCCTAAAGTGTGAAATCAGTGTGTGCAATCTGTGTCTGTTCTTCCCTTTGCACATTTATACAGGCAGCGAGTGGCATCTCTGCATGTACCTGGCTACCAAACACACACAACCCATCAGTGTCTGACGACTGTAGGTGACCAGCAAGACATACCTTGTCCTCCTGGCCCTCTGACATTCACTGAATTGCTGCTGGTGAGCTTGAGTATCCAGTCCTACATGGGGTGTGTGTCTGCCTTTTTTCAGGCATTGTCTCTCTCTTTGGAAATTCC